ACCTCCAGGAAATCTTCCTGACACTAAGATCTATTAGGAATTGTCTTCTAAAGGAAATAGATGAAGCCTTATTTCCTGGGATAATTCAAGTTGTACTTCAGAAAATAGTAAATATATACAAAGAACATCCTGCGTTTAGAAGAAAATTAGGCAGATGAAATTTTTTTCTACATTTAGGCTGGACAAGCCCCAGACTCCTACTCTCTACTCATATGTATACACAGGTGAAAGCACAATTAGACATGCAATATATAATGTAAAAGGGGTGGCGCTCTGGAAACAGTAACTATCATTATGGTTTTATTCTCAAAGTTTCCCTTATTCAAACACATGTAACTTTATAATTAATATATTGAGAAATATAATAGATATTTTATATTTTTAGATTATATATAATAAAAATTAAAAAATATATTGATAAATATTAATCACAGAATTATAGTAAAATAATAACTTTACCAGAGATCAAGTGTCTACAAGTGCATATCACAGCACATAAACTGCTACATAGCTCAGGTCCAGTGACAACCAGTTTTAAAACCCTCAGCTTCAAGTGTGAGAAGAAAGGGAATACACTTTATGAAGGAATGCAGCCAGTCCAGTGAAACTGCAATTGAAGAGTCCCTCTCCAGAGCACAGCAGTCCTCCTCTCAACTTCTGAGTCTTCTGAGATATCAGCTAGTCCTGTGATTTCATTACATAACAGCACACCTTGTCTCTCTGACTTAAAACACAAACAGGGATTTTATACTAGCGTTTTGAAATAGCTAAGCAAGGCATGGAATTAAAGATTCCCAGCTCTATGAAATGACTATTACCTGTTAGTGACAAACAAGTCGTGTTTGCTCAGCTATAATTAACATGTAAATTTGTTGGCTTTTCTATCACCACTATTTCAAATATAATTTAGGTTTGTTCCACATATACTGCTAAAGGTTAATGAAATCTATATGGCATTCACATTCCATGTGTCCCAGAAAATTGAATTCTCAGTGTTCTAGCTCATTTACAGAAAGAATCATATCTGTAAAGTGTACTAAAGAAAATACATATTCCAAAAAGGTAGACAAGACGACAGAAAAAGTAGGGGACCTAGTTAAAGAGTACCAACTGGAGTGACCAAAGGAAGCAATAACCAGGAGGAAAGAGAATTAATTACAGATTTAACAAAGGAAAAAGATATTTTAGAGGTTGTTTCTCCAATTTGGATATTTAGGGTGGACATTAGACAAGTTCTTTGCAGAAGGAATGGCTGGAAGGAATGTGCTGTCTAGAGAGGTGGTAGAGTCACTGTCCCTGAAAGTGTTTAAAAAAGACTGGATGTGGTACTTACTGTCATGGTCCAGTAAACAAAATGTGTTAGGTCATAGGTTGGACTTGACCATCTCAAAGGACTTTTTCAACCTAGCTAATAGTGACTGGGTCTGTTCCAACCCCCCCAGTGATGCACATTCTTCTAGTATCAAAATAAATAATAATAAACAAGATTTCAACCTCTGCAAGTTTCAAGATAGGTCTGAGATCTTGAAACCTAGAGAGAATGAAATCCAGACCCAAACTTGTTAATCAGGCCAGATTGCTCAGGGCTTGCCTTGAAAACCTCAAGGAAAAAATTCACTATGCACAACCTATTTCAGAGCTTTACAGTCCTATCAAAGAAAACTACTAACTGGACATTAAAAACAAACAAGTATGTATGTTCAAAAAGAAACTGTCCTGCTGTTCTCTGTGTTTATTGAATTAGAAATAAGTGTAAGGGATACCTTCCATAGTTTTGATGCTATTAACAGAAAATGGCAAAGTCATTTAAGATAATCTCATCTCCTGTGTTTTTGTGAACCAAGCCTTTAGTTTATTCCTTTTTGTGTTACCAGGATAAAAACTGCAGACCACTGGAAGAGGAAATTACTTCCGTAACAAACAACACTGTTAAAATTAAAAACCCTTTCCTAATGGCTACACAGCATCTCCCTTGCTGCATTTCCAGCCCACTGCTCTGCATACACTACAGACACGCAGACAGACCATTTCTTTCCTCCTTGTAGTAATGTTATGTATTTGAAGAGTGTTCACATATTTTCAGCTGACTCCACACTAAGAGTCAATCATGCAATCCTTCCCCAAATGTTCTGTATTTCTGAGCATCAGTCATTCTCATACATATCAACATATCAACACCAAATAGCACTTTTTAATAGGACTTTTTAATTAGTATTGATGACAATACTTCACTTTGGAGCATCTTATTCTTTCAGTTGAAATGTCATTTTTCTTTTCGGGCTACATTTCTGATTTACCAAGAACATTCTGTATTTTAAAGCTTTCTTCTACCTGTTATCAGTACCTTCTGACTGCCTATTATCATGAAATGTACTAGTCATGTTTTCTATCCCATACTGTAAAATCCAAATTCTAAGCAGCATTAGAATGAGAACAGATCCCCATTATATATTTGCCTACTTGGCAGCAAACCAATTAAAACTTCTCTCAGTGTATACTTTTTCAGTCACACTATAAAAGGGTAAACCAATGTTTTTGTTGCAGTTATAAGACTATCATATAAGAGTGTCATAATTTATGTAACACAGAGAAAACAGAATACAAAGGAGAATTAAAATAAATTAACAGTGAGAGTATATTGGAGGGAAAACTTGCAACATTACATTTGCACTGTCTGTACTTCCTGTACCACTATTGGTTTCTGTAAGAGTGAAACAAGTTCAGCCATGACCAAAAGCAGAACAAGACTTTTGGAATCCTCAGGAAGAACCAAGTGTGGCAGAGAAACCCCTAAACAGCATGAAGGAATCTCCCTCAATAATTTACATTACCAATGCTTCCCATAACTGTAATGTACAAATTATCAGTTGTCTCTGTCTCTCTGATGTCCCTAAGGCTTGCTCTGCCAAAGCAGAACCTAATACAAAAAACAACTATTTTCATTTGATGAAATGAGGTATAAGGCTGAGTTGGTTTCAACTATTCAATCCTACGAAATGATAGGGTAACTGAACCAAAAGCAGAGGATGGTTCTTTTCCATGTACATTTATATTTCCATGTACTCCTGTGGGGAGTCTGGAATGGCAAATATCCCACACTGAGGTAGCTGCATCCCAATCACCTTAGGTGATATGCAAAATGGAGTGTGCAAAAATTTTGTTCCTTAATACACAATATTGGGCAGAATTTTTGGTAATAGGAAAATTTTCCATTTCAGGTTTTGTAATCATTTTTGTTACAAAGTTGTGTAACTATTTCATTTTGTGCTATGTTAAAATGCAAATGTGTTGATAATTTTTTTATACTGGAGTTTAGTAGCTCAAACTCTACATTGTTATTGTTACACAATTATTTGAATCAAAGCTGAACTAAGTAACTGCTAAGACCTACGTCTCATAACCTTAAAGAACACACTTCCCACACAAATATCATGTATAGCTTCTGATGAAATTAGCCCAAATTATTTTTGAGTGAACACTGGTAAATAAAGATCTTTCCACTCTTATATTTCCTTTAATTTCAAGGAATGCATCATTAATAATAAATAATAGTAAACATATTAATAGACACTAGATTTTTTTTTTTTTTCAAATGGACATTTTAATTTTCATCTGAATTTACAGAGACAAAAGGAAAAAAATATGCTGGTTTAGCTTCTGGATAAGAAAAATGCAACTACCAGTGATTAGGTCATTTTATCTCTGCTTTAAAATAAGGAAAATCAAGTAAAGAGAGTGGCAGCAACAACTGGAGCCATGTGCCTGTGCTCAAACACACTTTATTCATAGAACTCGAGGAGAACACAGCACAGCTACAGAGCAATTATGGGGAGGGAAAAAAAAAAAAAGAAAAAAATGCACAAGCCTTTCAGAACTGATGAATAATGATACTACCATGGAAATAAGATCTGTCATTGGAGTCAGAAACACTGAAGCTTAACAAGTGGGTTTTTTTAGAGGCTGAAATCTCACATTATAAATGTTACTTGCTATGGATGCTGGTTTTTAATTCTGATACTTCTTCCTTCTTGGCTACTGGGATACTTCTTCCTAAAAAAACCTCCACATTTTAAATCTGCTTCAATTCTGTTAATCCATAGCATGCTTTCTTTAAAATATGAACACTGGAAAGCTGTCTGACACTTCTGAAGAGGTATGGTGGGTGAGTGAATATATCTGTGTCCAAAGCAGCCTAACTCACAAATATATTACACTTTTTTAAATTCAGAAGCTTCCACCTACTCTCTATTTTCACCAGTCTGAATATTGCCAGAATAGCAGCTGCTGTCATTCTTCATCTTTATGATATATAAATTCAGCAGAAATGCTTTTCTGCACCCTTTTTAGACAGTGGGCCAAAGCACAGAGAAACAACTTGTTTCAAGAAAAGACTCTTACTTCAGGTTGCCTAATCCAAACCAGCCAAAATTAGTGAGAAACTAGTAAACAGGCATGAACAGGGTTAAGAGCTGAAGTTACAACCATAAACTATCTCCACTCTTACTTTAATTCTTATTAGACAAGCTAATACCTGGCTCTTCCTTCCATTTGTCCCTCAACACACATTTACTTGCCTTTGATTTACTTTACTTCCCTACCTGGGAAGACTTAACTGCCAGAAGTAACACAAGAATATTGTATTGCATCATTTAATGCCACCCAGTGCTGGCATTCTATCAGCCAAGACAGCCTTCCACAGAGAAGGCTAAATGGGTTTAGTTCCCATTTTAATGCAAGCTATTGAACTATTTCTTGCCACTGCAGAGGTTCTGTTGGTTCTTCATAAAACTTTTCCTTATAGGAAAAAAAAAAAGTCTAAAAGAAGCCTTGATGACACCCAGGAAATACATAAAGAACTTCTCGTTCTTAAGCATTCACATATGAAAACTTTAAGAATTTTATTAATTAAAGGTTAAGGTACACTCTCAGAAAAAAGCTCTGCTTGGTTGGCCATCTACCATATTGTTAAACCAATAAATTACATGGATGAAATAATTTACCTTTTCACCTTCTTCACCCTTACTACCTGGAAAGCCTTGTTCACCCTGGAACAAAAAAGGATAAAATACAAATCTCAAACAAACATTGTTCAAGTAATGGTATTCTTTAAAATAATTTTAATGCATTGAACTTTTATTATAAGACAAAAACGAAATAATTTGGAAGCTGGTTGTTTCTCATTCAAAAAGGTGTGAAATGTCTACAAAAAATTGATATGCCTTTCCATAGTTTTGTCAGTTAATAGGAGTAATTTATTTTTCCATTCATCCTAAGGGATTTTCTGAGATTTAAAAATTCTCAACTATTTATTGACTCTAGATCTGCTTATTAAAGTACTTCTATACTTCCGCAGAGTCAATTTTAGTATACTTATTCCTATTAATACCTTCATTTTAATTTTTAAATTTGACTAGTCAACTGTGAAGGTCTTCAACCCAGATCAATTGAAAAAATACACAGATACAATTTATGAAAAGAAAACTAATTTATTTCACTTTGAAAACCATATCCAATTACCCAACTATTAAAAACAAAGAAAGAGAAAACACAGAAGGGGTGAATTTTAAACTATTAACTCAAGGTCAGATTATTTCAGCAGATTGAATTCTTTGTCTGATGGTATTTCAATAAAAAGGCCTATTATAATGCTCTTTCCACCTCTAACTTCCTAACCTTTAGCTCAGAAAAGGATCATAGTGTACAATCTTACTACGTTAGCATCTTCATCAAATACAATCAGCAGTCTGTCTATATTATACAAAAATAACACCTGCTCTAGGCTTTCATTAATGTGTACTTGCATGTTTTGTGAGATATACGGAAGACAGATGGGCAAAAGTATATACAGACAGCACAAAAATGACCTAATTAAAAATGCAAACTTTTCCTTTCTCTCTCAAATCATATAGCTGGAGATGGTTTGCATGTCTTTTCCAGTCTCCAGAATTAAGTCTCATGGCCTTGAACAACACGCATGATTTTTTACACATCTGTAGAAGAAAAGAGTGGAAAATATCCAAAGGAAAGCTTATGGTGTTTTTTAAATTCCTTAAAAAAAATAGACAGAGCAATGTCTAAACATTCTTTCACCCTTCAGAGAGTGTAATTTCCTTAAATAGAAGTCTAAGGTTTAAGTGAGGTTAACTAGAACAGCTGGCTATAGCTTGCAAAAATTCTAGCAGTGTTTTGTAAAATCTTTCAAGTAATGTATCATGTACTGATCATGTACTACACATCTGGGAATTAAATCCAAAGCTTTGGAGGTGTGCAGAAATATAAATTATCAAATAATTCTGGACTTTTCATCACTTTCTACAGTGTCTGCCTTTTACTTTTTTCTTTTGGTGGGGGTGGCTTATACAATCAACAGCTCAATTTTAGAAGCAAGCCCAAGACCAAGCATACAAAATGGTTTCTAGTGAAATAAACTTCCACATGTCCTCACATGTGGAATGAAAGCTTAATTCCTGAAATAATTTACAAATGAGTACGATTTCTGTTCAGTTCATCTGGTTTCCTTTTTTTGTGAAAATTCATGTCAGATATTCTTTTGAAGCCCCTTCCAACCTGGGTTGTTCTATGATTCCCATTTTTCCCCAACTGCTGGACACACAACACAGCTAACACTTACTCTAAAAAAATCATGGAAGTGTTTTCTTCATTTAGATTTTCCATTTGTGTTTTTTACTCAATCCCAAATTAATTATATGAAAATTATTCTGAGATAGAGTCAACATCTCTCTAATTTTAGCTTGTATTCATTGCCTCTCATCTTTTCATTGGACACATCTGATAGAAGTCTGACTCTGGCTTTTCCACACCCACTCAGTATTTACAAACAGCAATGAGTCTGCACACTGCCCACCACCCCAAATCATCTCACCCTAAGGCTGAACAAGCCCAGCTCCTTCAGCCTCCCCTCTTACATCATGGGCTTCAAGCCCTGGCCAGCTTGGTGGGCCTCTGCTGGACTCACCCCAAGGAGCTGCTCTTTATCCTCTCCAGGGAGCTCCAGAGTGGATGCAGAACTCCAGATGTGGTCTCACAAGCACTCACCAATCACTCCTCCTGGTCTGCTGGACAAGCACCTGCTAAGGCAGCCCAAGATGCTTTGGCCTTATTCAAACAAAGGGCAGCCAGCAGAACTCCCAACTCCCTTTCTGTAAAGCTGCTTTCTAGAAGTCTGGCACCTGTCCTGTGCTGTGGCATGAGGGTATTCCTTCTCAGAGGCAGGCACTCATGTTTGTCTTTACTTAACTTTAAGAATTCTGTGACAGCTCATCTCTCCAGCATGTTGAAAATATTGTTCCTGCCCTACCTTCCAGTGCACTGACTGCTTCCCTGCATTTGATAACATCCATGAACTTGATGAGAACCCCATCATCCATGTTATTAATAAGGATATGAAATAATATCCAGTATTGCCTCATGGGGTGTGACACTTGTTATTAGGTAGCAGTCAGACTGTGTAGCATCATTCCACCTTTGACCTCAATCTTCCACCCACTCTGCTGTTCATTTATCCAGTCAGAACCTCACAGATTCTAGTGTAATTATATGTCTGAAGACTATGCCAAAAGCCTGGTTGAAATCAAGGTATACAACGTCCACTACTCTCCCCTAATCCACACTGACAGTCATTTTATCAAGTAGGAAATCAGGTTGGTCAGTGTGATTTGTCCTTGGTAATTCCACACTGGATGTTCACAGTGACCTTCTAGTCCTTCCTATGTTCAGACATGCATTCCAGAATTTGCTACATAATTTTTCCAGGGACAGAGGTGAGGGTGACTGGCCTGCAGTTTAATGGATCCTTCTTGAAGATGGACATGATGTTTGCTTGTTTCCAGTCATCAGTGACCTTCCCTAGTAATCATAATTTTTTGCTAATTACAGAGGGCAACCCTGCAGTGACATCAGCCAGCTGCCCCAGCACCCCTGGTTGCAAAAAGTTTGGTGTCTTGCAAACAGCCAAGTAGCTTAAGTGATCCTTAACATTCTCTTCTGCTTTGGTGGTCAGTGGTTCATCATCACACTCTCTGCTAACATGCTTAAGTAAACTGGCAGGCCTGAGGGCAAAACTAATTAGGAGGAAAAAAAACTTGGTGAGTTTGAAAAGAGGTGAAAAAAAATTTGGGTACTCTCAGCCTTTTCCAAATCTCCCATCCCATTAAGTAGCAGGTCAACTTTTAAAGTTTGCTTCAGCTTTGCTTTTGCTATGGATGAACTTAACAGAAGCCCTTCATGTTGCCCTTAAAACTCTCTTATGAGTTTCAATTCCACATGAGTTTCTGGTTTCCTAACCATCACCACATGCTCTGGAAGTGTTTCTATGTTCCTACTGCGTAGCTCACCTGTGCTTCCACTGTTTACTTTCTTTTCTGTCTGAGGTCAGTTAGAAGCATCTTCTTCACCCATGCTGGCCTTCTGCCATACTATACTCCCTGCATAAAAACATGAAGTGTTCTTGGGGTTTTAGGAAGCTGTCCTTGAAGATTAACCAGCTGAGCCTCTCAGATTTGCAGGACAATTTCAATCATACCTTGGCTTCCTCTTTGCCACACTCAAAAAAAATTTCTCCTTGAAACTCTCCTCAGATATCTTGTTTTCTAGGCCCCTGAACATAAATTAATTCCCTGCTAGGCCCTCTCTGGATTCTCCACATCTCTTGTGGAAGTGAGGGTGGAGGACTCCCCCAAACATGACCCAGCATACCAGGTGTAGCACCACCAAGCCACTGGTAACTTACTTCAAAGAATTCAAATGCTACAGAAACAGAAAAGTGAAATTTAAAAAGTAGCACATGTATGGCTGGCTTAAATTTTCCTTTGTGTGGCAGAATTCTCATATTAAGTTAGGCAAAACATTTGACAAAAGTTTTTCATGGACAAATATTGATTGCTTGTCCTGATACTCACTGCAGGATTCCTGATCTGATTTTCAGTGTTTTAAATAAGCCTGTAGTACAAGTCCGTGAGATCCTGGCTTTGGATGTAGAAATTGATAGACTGGTAGTCTTGTTGCTGAACAAAATGCTGGCTACCTCATCTGCAGAAAATAAGTTGCTTCCTTCCTTCCCCTTGTGCTATATTACAGGAAGTGTCTGCCCTAAAGATACACAAATTGCATCAAGGTCATGTTGCAGAACATTTTCTTGAAATTTTAATAACAACAAAATAATGGGGAATTTTTTGTGTGGTCTTTTAATTTGTTGAAGCAGCAGAACTATTTCCCTTACAATTTTCTAAAAGGAATTAGCTGGACAGACATCAAGATTTAATTCCAAATATTTGCCATTAAAAACATCTGCAATCAACAAAATATCTGATCATGTAAAGAGGCAATTTTAACAAGTATTACCAGCAAGGTCTATAATAAATATGTCTCCTTTTGCAAGTTCTGGCCTTCCTACAATATTCCACTTCCGGGAAGGAGCAAAAGATTAAAATGGAAGAATGGAAAAAATGCTGCTCCTCATCACATTTTGCTGAGATCTCAAGATTCTCAAATTTCCAATTTTTGAATTTGTAATCCCGTATTTGAAAAGACCCGTTTGAAGACAGTTTGAAGATTTAGGCAATTAACCTGGTCTTAATGCAAAATAATACTGCTGGGCAGGTTTGTACCCCAGCACCATGTCCTTTCTCTTTTGAAAGAGAAGCCAGTAGTAAAGTTCCTCTGTCACATTATATAACTCAGAAACTGGATATGTAATCCAAGTACCGTTTATGTAGATACTGGACAGCTGGCCAAAAGGATGCTGACACTGTAAACGGTTAGAATGAAACTTTTGTTTGTTTGTTTGGGTATTTGTTTGGTTTCTCTTCTGCCTTGGAGCCAGTGAGACTGGGTTTGCCAGGCGCACCTACTAAGCCAGTTTCCCCCTGAAACAAATTGTACACAGCCATAATTTTACAGACCTAACTCATCACTGAGCTAAATTAAGAGAAAAAGGCATGTAGACATGTATGGCTTCTCATTCTTTTTCTATGGAAGAGCTGAATTCATTTCTAGGGTTATTTATGTCGTTTATCTTGTGCTTGAT